CTGTACGCACCCTTCCGCATTTCAGATATTCGTAAATACGGGTCGTATTATCAGTTCGATTTCGACCCTGATTACTTATTTATATTTATCTACCCTACCCAGGGGCGTAAATCCGTACCGAGGAGTGGGGGGGATGATCGGCGATAGCCATCACATACTAGCACGAGCACACGCCAATACTAATTTACGCAAGCGCACGCACAAACACACAACACACACACACACGTACACACACAAACACACACACACACCTGCACACACACAAACGAACAAACAACAAACAATATTAGAGAAAGAAGACGATTCGTTGTACCGTTCTCGAAAATAATCCTCGTCTGAATTCAGTTCCCCCCCCCCCCCCCTCCCGCGCGGAGCGCGGAAGCTTTTACGTTTCATTAAATCATTAGAGAAAGAAGACGATTCGTTGTACCGTTCTCGACTCTTAATCCTCGTCTGAATTCAGTTCCCCCCCCCTCCCGCGCGGAGCGCGGAAGCTTTTACGTTTCATTAAATCATTAGAGAAAGAAGACGATTCGTTGTTCCGTTCTCGACTCTTAATCTTCGTCTGAATTCAGTTCCCCCCTCCCCTCCCGCGCGAAGCGCAGAAGCTTTTACATTTCATTAAATCATTAGGGAAAGAAGACGATTCGTTGTTCCGTTCGCGACTCTTAATCTTCGTCTGAATTCGTCTGAATACGGGTCGTATTATCAGTTCGATTTCGACCCTGATTACTTATTTATATTTATCTACCCTACCCAGGGGCGTAAATCCGTACCGAGGAGTGGGGGGGATGATCGGCGATAGCCATCACATACTAGCACGAGCACACGCCAATACTAATTTACGCAAGCGCACGCACAAACACACAACACACACACACACGTACACACACAAACACACACACACACCTGCACACACACAAACGAACAAACAACAAACAATATTAGAGAAAGAAGACGATTCGTTGTACCGTTCTCGAAAATAATCCTCGTCTGAATTCAGTTCCCCCCCCCCCCCCCTCCCGCGCGGAGCGCGGAAGCTTTTACGTTTCATTAAATCATTAGAGAAAGAAGACGATTCGTTGTACCGTTCTCGACTCTTAATCCTCGTCTGAATTCAGTTCCCCCCCCCTCCCGCGCGGAGCGCGGAAGCTTTTACGTTTCATTAAATCATTAGAGAAAGAAGACGATTCGTTGTTCCGTTCTCGACTCTTAATCTTCGTCTGAATTCAGTTCCCCCCTCCCCTCCCGCGCGAAGCGCAGAAGCTTTTACATTTCATTAAATCATTAGGGAAAGAAGACGATTCGTTGTTCCGTTCGCGACTCTTAATCCTCGTCTGAATTCAGTTCCCCCCTCCCCGCGCGGAAGCTTTTACGTTTCATTAAATCATTAGGGAAAGAAGACGATTCGTTGTACCGTTCTCGACTCTTAATCCTCGTCTGAATTCAGTTCCCCCCCCCTCCCGCGCGGAAGCCTTCACGTTTCATTAAATAATTAGAGAAAGAAGACGATTCGTTGTTCCGTTCTCGACTCTTAATCCTCGTCTGAATTCAGTTCCCCCCTCCCCTCCCGCGCGAAGCGCGGAAGCTTTTACGTTTCATTCAATCATTAGGGAAAGAAGACGATTCGTTGTACCGTTCTCGACTCTTAATCCTCGTCTGATTTCAGTCCGCCACCCCCCTCCCGCGCAGAGCGCGGAAGCTTTTACGTTTCATTAAATCATTAGAGAAAGAAGACGATTCGTTGTTCTGTTCTCGACTCTTAATCCTCGTCTGAATTCAGTCCCCCCCCCCCCCTGCGCGGAGCGCGGAAGCCTTCATGTTTCATTAAATAATTAGAGAAAGAAGACGATTCGTTGTTCCGTTCTCGACTCTTAATCCTCGTCTGAATTCAGTTCCCCCCTCCCCTCCCGGGCGAAGCGCGGAAGCTTTTACGTTTCATTCAATCATTAGGGAAAGAAGACGATTCGTTGTACCGTTCTCGACTCTTAATCCTCGTCTGAATTCAGTCCGCCACCCCCCTCCCGCGCGGAGCGCGGAAGCTTTTACGTTTCATTAAATCATTAGAGAAAGAAGACGATTCGTTGTTCCGTTCTCGACTCTTAATCCTCGTCTGAATTCAGTCCCCCCCCCCCCCCCCCCCCGCGCGGAGCGCGGAAGCCTTCACGTTTCATTAAATAATTAGAGAAAGAAGACGATTCGTTGTTCCGTTCTCGACTCTTAATCCTCGTCTGAATTCAGTTCCCCCCCCCCCCTCCCGCGCGAAGCGCGGAAGCTTTTACGTTTCATTAAATCATTAGGGAAAGAAGACGATTCGTTGTACCGTTCTCGACTCTTAATCCTCGTCTGAATTCAGTTCCCCCCCCCTCCCACGCGGAGCACGGAAGCCTTTACGTTTCATTAAATCATTAGAGAAAGAAGACGATTCGTTGTTCCGTTCTCGACTCTTAATCCTCGTCTGAATTCACTCCCCCCCCCCTCCCGCGCGGAGCGCGGAAGCCTTCACATTTCATTAAATAATTAGAGAAAGAAGACGATTCGTTGTTCCGTTCTCGACTCTTAATCCTCGTCTGAATTCAGTTCCCCCCTCCCCTCCCGCGCGAAGCGCGGAAGCTTTTACGTTTCACTCAATCATTAGGGAAAGAAGACGATTCGTTGTACCCTTCTCGACTTTTAATCCTCATCTGAATTCAGTTTATCCCTTCCCCCCTCCGGCGCGAAGCGCGGAAGCTTTTACGTTTCATAAAATCATTGGAGAAAGAAGACGATTCGATGTACCGTTCTCGACTCTTAATCCTCGTCTGAATTCAGTTCCCCCCTACCCTCCCGCGCGAAGCGCCTAAGCTTTTACGTTTCATTAAATAATTAGAGAAAGAAGATGATTCGTTGTACCGTTCTTGACTTTTAATCCTCAACTGAATTCAGTTTTTCCTTCCCCCCCCCCTCCCTTCCGCGCGAATCGCGGAAGCTATTACGTTTCATTAAATCATTAGAGAAAGAAGACGATTCGTTGTACCATTCTCGACTCTTAATTTCTTTAAAAAGGGGGTGGGTTTTTTTCTCTCTCTCTTTGGACTCCTGAGAAATGTAAAAAGGAGGTTATAAAATAATGAATATAATAGAAAAATTGATCAAATCCCGGGATCAAAATCCTGAAATTCCTGCTAGCTTTGAAAGCTCATTCAGGATTATTTCATTTTGAAAAGTAAAAGCATTTGCCCCCAGTCCCCCTCGATCGACTAGAGCTCACCTGAAATTAGGGGGGGGGGGGTCCCAAGGTAGGAAAAGCCAGCGAAAAGCCGGCGAAAGGGGGATTCAGAAATGTTGGCAGTCCTGAGATAGGGTGGGGGGAGGGGGTGCGCTTTCATAGGGAGGGAACGAGCGTACGCGTACCCTAAATAACACTAAGTGTGTGTGGGGGGGGGGAGGGGAGCTGGGCAATCTACTGTACATGATTGCACTTTTTAAGCGGACGCACATTACGTCTGGGCTATAATAATACCTTGCAAAATAACGAAAAAATAATTCTGAAGTTTATGAAGTGCTTGTTCGCGCACGTTGCGCAACTACTCTTAACGATCGTGACATACTGTATACGTGTAGGCTATACAATTATACATACATTAACGAAAAATAACTCATTTCTCATGCATTATGCTGAAATTGAAACAATCACATTTTTTTTCCTTCTTCTTCTTCCTTTTTTTTGTAATATCAGGGGGTGGGATGATTGTACAGGCCATCCCCCCCTACTTCAAGCCAGGGGGGGATGCAGCCCCCCCATCCCCCCCGGGATTTACGCCCCTGACCCTACCGGTGTGGCATTTTTTTCATCATATACTAATCTAAGCCTTATCGATGTAGGGTAATTACATGACAATACGCTGTTCACTTTATAAACTTGACCAATTTAGCGAATCATTCATGTATGGACCTCTTTTATGAAAGGCGTATCCCCCACCCTAAGAGGAACAAAAGATTGTAAAGAAGTAACTACTCTGGAAGTTTACCGTTTTGAAAGAAGAGGATGTAGGCCTAAACGTAGGTCAATAGGTCAATCTACATGACAATACAAACAACCACTCTAACTTATATACCTTTACGAGTGCATGTAACCATTTTAGAGCAGGTTTGAGTAAAACATCTTGATCAACCTAAAGCCGGTCTTGGTTTGAGCGGGCACATGAAATGTTCAAATGTTATGTTCTGAAAAACAACCCCTTACTCTTCCTCTCTCTCTCCCCACGGAATATCACTCGTCTTGAGCAACTCCGGCGGTATAGCCACGAATATGAGACTTTTCCTGGGCAAAGATGCTACCATTGTTGAAGAAAAAAATGCAAGGCAACATAAAATCAAGTTTTCTGGCAATGAAGAAAAGCGAGTGCAAGATGAAGAAAATAATTTATTATTTTATTACAATATTGTAAGCAGCTCATCTCAAAATTCATTTCCCAAATAGTCCTTGATTTGCACATAAAAAAGGGCATTTAGTGTAGATCATGGCATAATGTTGGTCAGAATATAGTTACAAAATGTGTCGAAAACCCATGTAAAACGAAGGCTGAGGCCTATTATTTATGGCTCGGTTGATAATCGGTCGAGCTTTAGCAGACGACAATCATTGACAATGGGGAAATGAATGGAGGTATCGACCGATCTGCGCGTGCGGCTGTGCTTACGCAATTTGTATTGTGAGTGTATTGAAAAGGAAAGACGTAAAGCTTTAGCAATAAAGACGGCAATTCCCCTAAAAAAAAACAGACTTTATTTATCGTAATGATAAACAAAACTTACATTTTTAGAAAGGAAAAAGTCTGATCTTTCATTTTACATTTACTTTGACTGAATGAGGCGCAATGAGCAATTAAAGTAGAAAGCACCGCCAAATTTTCCATTACTGGCGATGAAACCGAAATCGCTCCGTCACAGGGGAAACAATCGCTGTGCGCGGGCTCGCCCTCAAAGGGTTAACATTAAAAAGAAGGAAAGTAACTCACAACTTTGTCCAAAATCAAAGATTTCTCTCTCTGTCAGGTTTTTCTCAGCCGTATCCATGATGATGGTTCCGTCCCGGTATTGGAAATCATCATTCTTATCACCATTCACGAGGCCTAAACAAAATGATAATAATTAAAATAATAACATTAATGATGACAACACTAATGATATAATAATGATAGTTACAATAAATGTAGTAATTTATAATAATGATACCTGTTATCCTCATCATTTTTAATAATGTAATTTTTGTAATTTTTATTATTATCATTTTTATTATTATTACACTACTAACCGAATAGACCATTTCCAATCCCTCCAGTAGCGTATTCTCGAGGAACAAAACTATTTACTAGTAATATCCCGGTTCTGAAAACCACACGAAGTCCGGAGCTGGGTATGTCTGGTAGTTTAAAGGTTACAATGATAGCAGTTTCACTTTCTGCCGCCTCATCATCACTGTGTAAGTTGAAAGTTGGGTCAGCGGAGTCGTAGCCATCTGCATGAAGAAATACGTTGATCTTGTGAAAGAATTTGTTATAGAGCAATTTCATCCACAAGTGAATAGTCTCTTGATATGACTTCTGATGATGTTACTGGTACACAAAAGAACAATCGTAAACGGTCAAAGTAAAAAATGTTCATTTGGGATGAAATAAATTGGATAAGTGTCATACAGTACATGTCGTACGGGCCACAGTGCATGTAATCACCCTACATGTACATGTATATCATTTTAAAACTTGAGAAAGGCTCCTCCCATCAAAACAGATATTGTTAGTGACAACGATGTGACACATATTACACTCCAAAACAAGTATCCTGTATTTTTCAGGTATCTACATTGTATATCAAAGCATATTTACAAATTATTTGATAAAGAGGTGAGGAAAAATAATAAAATTGCGTTTTCATTTCATACACTTGTATTTACATGTATAGTACCGTGAGAGGCCTGTTTACTAATTCTATGCATGCTTCTTGAACAAAATTGCTCTTGACAATTTAAACAAGAAACATGCATAGATTGAAATACATTAGTAATAAACAAGCCTATCACAAGTACCAGCAGTACCTGCTTCAAGAGTTGATATATCGACCGACGTCTGGTTGACTGAGAGTAGCAGCTCTGTTCTATCATCATTTAAAGTAAATGATACCTATAAAGAAAAACCCAAATTCATGTTATCAATCTCTTAATCTTCATTATCATTTATCATTCATTTATTTTTCGTGGAGTAATTTTCCTCGGGGGGAGGGGGGGGGGATTTTTCAGGGAATTTTTGTCCTCTGGGGTGGTTGTTCTCAGGGGGTATTTACCAGGGGGTAATTGTCCTTGGGGGTTTATTTTCCCGTTCGTAACTGGCTGGGGGTGATTGTCCAGGGGGTAATTGTCCTAGAACCTAACAATACCACAATCATTGTAAAGAACTTTGTAACGGCTTCTAAAAGTCTAACCGGAAGACAGTCCTTTTCTTGTAAGCATACAGTAACTAAATGTGTAGAATTTTTACACTATTCGTCCTTGTTTTCACGAAGTGACGGTAGTGAGGAAAATCGTCACGCATAGTGAATGCAATTTTTTTTCACTACCGTCACTTCGTGAAAACAGCGACGAATTTGTAATTTTTAATTTATCCTTTCACAATGCGTTTAGGAAAAAAAACTGGACAGATGGCGCATTTAAGGGACATTATTATTATTTTTATTATCATTATTATTATTTTTATTATTAGGTGGTCTGTTAAAAACAGATCACCTATTGTTTTCGTCAGAATTTTCTTCCTTTATTTATTTATTATTATTATTATTTATTTTTATTTTCCGCACTTTTTTGTGTAGAGGATAACTCAAGATCAGTTTGGTCAATTTCTTTCAATTTTGGCACAGTCATAGGACATTGTCATAAGACGTGACAGTAACATTTTCAAGGTCACCAAGTCTTCATGACGTCATCCAGGCGCCATTTTGTGTTTTTTTTTTGGTACTTTTTACTCAGGATCATATCTTCATAACGGAAAGGCATTTCCTATTCATGTTTATCATGATTAAGGTCAATATCTGTCCGGTCAATTTCAGGTCAGAAAACGCGCGCGCATGCGTACGTCCGCACGTCAGCGCGCGCGCAAAAAATAAAAATGCTCAAAATCGTGTCAAATTTTTTTTGCATACGTTTGAGGCCATTTTAAGCATTTCGCAAAAAAACTCGCACAGGCACATGCGCGCGCGTTTTCACGCGTAATGGCATTTTGCAACATAAAATCGTCAATTTTTTTAGATCATCATATTTGTCACATTTTTCCAAGCATTTTGATACCTTGTTCACCTTATTCTGCCCATTAATAACGGAATGAGCGTCCGTTTAAGATAACGTCCGTGCGTGCGAGCTCTTGTAATACATAGCATACATGGGCAAAAACATGCCTATACAAAATCCATTGTAGCGCTTTAGGATGCAAGATGAACCCAATTTTGTTTTCATATTTTGATAGAGTATGAATTGGAGATATGATTTCATGTCTCATTTGACCCTCAATTAACTCATGACGTCATCATAATGGCCTCCGAACTCAAAATTTCAATTTGCATATTATGACGTCATCATATTTTTGGAAAATTGATTGTATCTCTGTAAATATTGATCAATTTTCATCCAAATTTTAATATGTTTTAGCTGAGACAATTCCCTACAGATGCAGTCACCACGAATTTTCATTTTGACGAAAGCATCATGGCGTATTTTTGCGATAAAAGGAGGCATGTCAATTTTTTACATTTTGCGTGTATTCTCTATGGGACATGACTTTTTCTGAAAACTGGATTCTACATTCCCGTCTTTCACGAGCAATATCTCCGTCGTCTTAGCTTCGTTTTCGCCGAGCATCGAGTATCTTGTAGCTGAGACAATAAGCTATCACAAGTGTGCCATTTATTTCTCGATCAGATGCCGGGATCATGCTCATATTTCACTTGCAAAGTGGGATTTGAGAATTTCATTTTCCGTTTACGTGTAATCGCTATGGGAAATGTTTTGGTATATCGGTAACGCACTTGACTTTGGACCTCGAGATCCCTGGTTCGAGTCCGGGAGTCTCCAACAACTTTTTTTTCTCTTTTTTTTTCTTTTTTGACTTTTCTATGATCATAAAATTGAAAACAGACCACCTAATTCGTCCCCATGAGGAATTAAATTTCTAGTTATGATTATCATTATAAGTATTATTATTAATAATCATTAATTTTATTATTATCATATAAAGTGATTAAGAGGAACACTTCTTAAGAAAGAAATTCTCACGTTTGTAATGCCTTGTGTCGCAGCAAAACCTGTAAAGACGGTTCCTGTGTTAACAGGTTCACCATTCCTGAATGCTGCGCCGGTACGAGTCTGGAGAACAAATGGGTCATTATAGTTGTATTGCATCATAATGTACTCGCCAAACCCATTGAAGCTGTACATCCTCCCATCAAAGGTTAAAAAGTGTGGGTCACCAGATCCCTGAGCTAGAATGATAATAATGAAGAGAAATAAAATTGTAATAATATTAATAATAATATTAACAAAAAGTAATAACAATATGAATAATAATAATAATAATAATAATAATAATAATAATACTAATGATAATACTACTAATAATAATGGTTATTAATAATAATGTAGTGTGTTCTTCTGCTACCACAATTATTGGATTCAAATACATCAAAATCTGCAAGATCGTCAACAAATGGTGAAAGACCGTAACAGATTCGTGATTAATATAGGTATGTTGTGGAGTGTATAGACTACTTGCATTTTTGTTTTTTATTTTATTCAATATATATAGGCGGGCAGGTCCAAGCTATTTGGATTGTGACGTACGGGACATTTAGAGACTTTAAACAAGAAATAACAACAGATGAAATTATTTATATGGCTATCTTTTGGTATGAGTCTGTGGCTATTATGGGCTAGTTCATTTGTGGAAAGTTTTAGTTCTGACCAATTTTTTAATTAATTTTAAATGTAATTAATGTGCTGTGTGACGTACGGGACGCTGTACCCTGCACCCTCCCCCCTAGGGAGCGCGCTACGCGCGCTCTGAAAGTGATTCGCACGCTTTGCATGCTCACTACCGCCCCCCTAAAATGAAATCCTGGCTACGCGCTTGTTCCGCACAAGTTTCATAAAATACACATGACAACAGAAATAGAATCAATTTTGTTGGCCTCGTACTCGATGCCCTTTTTGTAAAAATATTTTGGCCTTGGTGCCCTTAAAAATATGAGGTACTCTAAGGCCAAAATGGCCTTGCCCTAAAAAAGACGAAATTTAAGGCCTGGTATCTCCACGCCGGGGTTACGGGTCACATTTTGGATAGGTTTCTGAACAAGCGCCGGATATACTCGCCATGATGATGAACATTGGAATCTCTGGTCCTATCAGAACGTGGATCCAAGACTTCCTCACTGAACGGAAGCAGAGAGTGGTTGTGAACCACAACATGTCAGATTGGACCCCAGTCACCAGTGGAGTACCGCAAGGGAGCGTGCTTGGACCTCTTCTATTTGTCATCTACATAAATGACCTTCCTGACGAGATTGAGGCAGCAGTCAAAATCTTTGCAGATGACACCAAACTGTATGGCAAAGCTACGTCTGAGGAAGACTACACCACCCTGCAGAGAGACGTACAGAAACTTGAGGGATGGTCAGAGAAATGGCAGCTCCACTTCAATGCAAAGAAATGCAAGACCCTGCACCTAGGGGCAGGCAATCCACGGAGGGAATATGAGCTAGACAGTGTAAAGATCCCAGAAACCAAAGAAGAAAAGGACCTTGGAGTTGTCATTGACGAGAAGCTCAGATTTCATCAACAATCTGCAATTGCTGCTAGAAGAGCAAATGGAGTACTAGCTCGCATACGTAGATCTTTCACTTGCAAGGACAGATCAACAATTCCACTCCTCTATAAAGGTCTTATTCGTCCCATATTGGAATATGGCAATGTAATCTGGCACCCTCGCTATGTGAAGGACGAAAAAATCATAGAGAAGGTACAAAAAAGAGCAACAAAAATGGTACCAGAGATAAAACTCCAAAGCTACCATGAGAGACTTGAGAGTTTGAAGCTTCCCTCACTTAGCCACCGCCGCCGCCGAGGAGACATGATTCAGGTGTTCAAGTTGATGCAGAACATCGACAGGTTGGACTCTACCCAATTCTTCACACCTGCAATCAATTCAACAACGAGATCGAGAGGGCATGCTTTCAAACTGACCAAACCCAGGTGCAACACCAAACTCAGGCAAGACTCATTTAGCCACAGGGTCCTCAACGACTGGAACTCCCTCCCTGAGTTGGTAGTATCTGCAACCTCGGTAAACAGCTTTAAAGCCAGACTTGACAAACACTGGAAGAAGGAGCAATATCATTCACCCTTCTCCCAGTTGACACTCCAGTTATGACAATCTAGACCCTATATCCTGATATGACCCAGCAAGCAAGATACAGATGTAAAATGACTATGGTGCAAGACCCGGAAGCTGGGACATCCCCCCCCCCCCCCTTGAAGTTAGACCTGGAAGCTTGGCAGCTGGAGACGGCTTTCTTCCAGAAGCTTTGGTATTCAAGGTATTCAAGGTATTAAATTATCAAAACAGTGGGACAGACTAACATGACACCGTTATTAATGCGTGGGGCCGGGCTTACTCACAGATTTCACAGGAAAGTACATCAACACTCACAACAAAACTGCATGACGTGAGCGCATGGACCTGATATGACCCAGCAAGCAAGATACATCTAGTCGCCATCAAAGTGTAACCTTCCGTACACAATTAGACCAAGATGAGAGATACATCATTCCAGTAATTTAGATGGGTTTATTCAGGGTTATAATAGTCTAGACCCTCTAATTTCTATCGGGTATTGTTGACGGTATTGTTTTGCCCCTAGATGGCGCTATGGCAGCATGACAGTAAGGATACTCCACTAATATTAAAGGTAATGCAAAGTTTTGGGAAATTTTGAAAATTGGCTGGATAGTAATTCTGTTTTGCCCCTAGATGGCAGCATGGCAGTAGGGATAGGCCTATATACATTTAAAACCGATCTTACATTTTCTAAATTTGGGTTTTGCAACTAAAAGCTTGCTTAGAATTCAAAAGATCTTTTCAGCAATCAGAAACGAATGGATACAAAGTGATTTTATGGAAGTGGACACTGAAAATTTTGAAATAGAATTGATGATATTTGGACGTTTACAGAAACTATGTGATATAAAATCTAGGCGGTTATATGATTACTTCATTGAAGACCTTCAAAAAGAGTATACATTACATGTTACAGATGGCAACTGTCATTTTGATCTTGGAATGACGGAGTTGAAAGAAACATTCACAAGGATGAAAGGTGCAATGCTTTGTAATAAACATAGAGAGTTTCAATACAAACAATTACAAGGGGCTGTATATATACGAAAAGAGAGCTCTTTAAATTTGGTTTTGAGTCAGACCATTTTTGTTCCTTCTATAGACTAGAAGTAGAGACATACCAACATTTATTTTTAGATTGTCTTAAAGTTAAAAGATTATGGCAGGAGGTAATTCAAAAGTTACATTTAATCGAAATTGACATTGATGATTGGAAACCCATATTTATGGGAATATCCGGCAATACTACTAGAATATTTGTAATAAATTGTATCATATTTTTAGTAAAGTATATCATTTTTATTTCTAGAAAAGAAGGAACTTTGCCATCTGTGCAGAAAACATATATGCTTAAAAATTACAGAGACGAGGAATACAAAATAGCCTTCAAAAAGGGAAACTGGGGATGCACTTACAGAAATGGGAACAAATCGATGCATTTTTATCTTAATGGATGTGGGTAATATGTGATATATAATAATATATATAATATTTGATTTACAAAAAGCAATCTGAATCAGAATATATTTTTCAAAAATTTCCAAACATGCAGAAACAATGAACTGGCGGCTATATATATGGGTTAAATAGACAAAGAACTCACCACCATTGGGAGGGGAATATCCGTCACAGCTTGCCTGTGGGCGACGCTCCTCGTAAAGATCACAATATCCCTCACTCAGAATAGCCCTTTCACAGCATATTTGTCTAGGTACGACGTCCTCACCTAAAACATTGAATGGATTTCAGGATAATTTATTTTTGCATTAAGCAGTCCTCTATACAGTGTACCAATCATCAAAAATATGTCATGTATGTCAGTAAATCCTCGTGTTGATGATATATATTCAAAATATGGGTTTCAAATATTACTTTATAAAATAGAGATTGACACAACCTTAATCAACATAATACTTTTTAAGAGTAACTTTCGACGCACCTGCATAAAAAGCTATTTTGTTTATATTGTAGGATGTAGAGCAACTGAGTTGCTCATATAGAATCGTCTTTAATTGCTTGTTCAGATACCCACTCTTAATCCTAAGGCTGAACCTCAATCCTAAATATTTGTTAGCCCATAGCATGCACGTGATGTGTTTTTTTTTAGGTTTGATTTTATACATTGTAGCTAGACACAAGTTATCTTTAAGGTGATTGGTATTTACTGTTTGCTAATGTGAAGCACAAACAGTATAATATTGAATATGATGTAGAATACATAAAAGTTAATATGCTTAGCACTACAATGTATTGAGCTTCTCCAGGCATATCAGCTCAATTATTATGTTAACCAAATGATTGGTGATCGAAAGGCAGCCACATGTGATTCATTTATATACATATACTATGAATATAGGAGTGACTTGTATAATGTACTATGTAGAGAGAGAGAGAATGGAGGGGGCGAGGGTACTCAGATTTTGTTTGGACGGGGGTGTGACGCTCAAGCCTCACAAAACCCATACCCATTTTCATTAGTCATTTTGGCAGAAAAAATACAAATTTGTAATGATTTTTCTCGAAATTTAGGCCAATTTTTACCTGCAAACACCGACAATTTTGGAAAACGGACTCATGTTAAGCTACATTTTTATTAAAAACGGAATCCATGTTTAGGGATTCTTTAGTGAAAAAACTAAACCATTAAAGCGGCATATCCCCATATGTCTTAAACATAATGTGAGTACTTCATATCGATTGACGATTGATCAGATCTCTAGAACTTGACGACTATATATCCCAGCGTTTTGATGAAAGTGGGGATTTTTAACAACTTTACATTTGCTACAGGCTGATATTTCCAAACATATAAATGAAACTTACTTTTCCATTCATTGTACAAAACGTCATTTCTTCTTCGAGATCTGGGAAGTAAGAGTGCCTGGAAATTGCTGGATTCCCATAGGTTCAGGTAGTCTGTAACTAGAGCACCACTAATATAGGTACAGCGGAAACCCTCATCACCATCCGTGGTTGACTGGAAGCATTGCACTGAACCTAAGTGGGCGAAGGGGGTTGGGAATGGGTAATGGAGGGGGCAGAATGTGGAGAAGGGAATATGGGAGGGGTAGGGTGTGGGGAAGGGGTTAGGAGGGATTGGGGGTTGGGAGGTGTCGGGGAATAGGTTAGGAAGGGGGTCGATAAGATGTACAGGTAATAAGGCTAAAGCCACGTAGGTGTACATTGAGATGAACCCAAACTTTTAAATAAATAATTACACTTTTCTGTTTTTTACAATAACTATAATGATATCATGAAAGAGTTTCATCAGGATGGTTCTAATAATGATTTTAAATTTCTGGTATCACATCGAAACAGTTTGTTAAATTGTCCTTTTAAAGAACTTTAAAATCATTGTAATTGAATCCTAATGTTAATCTCTGTGAGCTGTAACATTTGCATGAAAAACTGAAATAATTTCCTCTTTCGGAAAAAAATAAGGAAAAGTTAAGTTTTAATATATATATGTCATGTATCAATATTAAAGCTTCATGTGTTTATATAAAGCTGAACGAAAATTTATTAAAAAAACAGTTCTCTCACAGCACGACTTTAATATATCAATTATTATTGAATTGAATGTCGATTTCAACAACATAATACACACACTAATTTTAATGATATATAATTTTGGGGGATTTAAAAGTTGCAAACAATAATTCATCATGCTAGGCAGCAATTGTTGTTTATGTTTGAAGTCAAAGAGGCAATATTTATAGCAAATATCAGCCTTCTTGGGATATTTTTGAACTTACTATAACTAGCACTGCTGAAATCAGGATCGTTGCCCCTTGGAAAAGTACACCTTCTGAAGTTTACGTCTCTTCTAGCTTGTCTCCTTGAACAAGGGCACACAGATGCATCGGAATAGGTGTAGGTCACCCTGAGGTCATTCTCATACCACTTCAGACACTCAACACATGGGTTGACAAAATCGGCACCATTGAGGTCTAGGCGATAAATGTAGCTGCCCTGAGTATACAAATGTCACACAACAAGTTTAAAGTAAACCGATCATTAATACACAAACTATACTCCATGTTAGATATGACTTGACATCACCTCTTAGCACGAAATATAATATTGTGAAACACATTTTGTGTTAATCTGCATATTGTAAAAGGGTAATAATAATAATTATGGACATTCCTATATTTCACAGACCTAACTAACTGGATCACATGTGATTTCTACAAAGGTACAGGTGACCAAATTTGTATTCCGTATTCATCTCAGGTTTGTTGTTTATTTAAAGTGTATCAATCAGAGAAAAAGCATATTTATAATGTAGCCTTAAAATAAAATATCATTGCTTCCAATTGAAGAACATATTATATAATCAATTAATTAGCCCTCAATAAACCCTTGTCCTGAAAGTGCTAAACAGATAAAAACAGCTTACCATCTGACCCGTATTTCCTGTGACCAAGTCTCGTCGATAACTATTATAAATAGTGTCCCGGTCAGTATCTTCATACAGATTTGTTACATTGTCAATGTTACTGTATCCCACTCGTGCTGGAAATTCTTTCAAACTAGTATGCCATTGAAGGTCCCCTGCCTGGTAGTTCATCATTACACCTGTCTGTTTGCCGTCGGTGAAGACCACAGCCTGGTAGGTGTTTGTCTATGTAATAAATAATAATGATAATATACAGTAGGCTTGCGGGTGCACCAAGTGTGAGAGAGAGAGAGGGAGGATTGAGGAGTCCTGGAAAGTGAATAATGACAAAAGCTACATTTCGATTGGGTAAGTATTTATCCTAGGGATGCTCAATGCGCCTACAAAGTGAATACCCGGGCTTCAGTCTAGCTGCCCTCAGGCGCTAAAAGGATTCAACAATAAATTCCTACCAGGTACTTATTTACTGCACCTGGATGGAGAGTGACAAATTCAGATAAATATATTGCCAAAGGAAATTTTTAGTGGGGAGGGACTTGAACTGCGAACCATATATATCTTAACAACAGCAGGGTAATCGATATATCCACTAGACAGTTTATCCCATGGAAAATCAGATTACAATTGAGCATTTTAGTAAAAGAGAAAGTCATTTACTGTTTTAAAAATTATTAAAGAGATGTTGAAGTTCTGATAAAGGAGAACAATAACATTCAATAAGTTTGTTGTTACACCGTTTGGCTGGGTAGTCTTGAAATAGACTATTTGGTTTGAAAGGATATATAAAAGAAAAAGAAAGTGAAGGAGCAATATTCGTTTGGTTTTGTCTCATATAGGAATATCTGATATGGTTGGGAGAGAAGTAGAGACAATTAGGAGAGATAGTATTATTTCGTCAGTGACGTCTAGAAAAGACTGGTGGACCGGGTTATGAATGCAGAGAGAGAGAGGGCGCGCGAGGCTCGAAGTCCCAGGCGCGGGTTTGATAATTGTTCTTTATCACTCTTACAAACGGTCAACCTGTACTCAACCTCTATAATATGGCACAGGAAAAGACCAAACACCAAGACCTCGCCCAGTGGATGACTCACTTAAACTATAGGGGAAACTGAATGAAAATCTGTGATTATTGATAAAGGTCAACATGCTTATGGCAATTCCTTAAAACGTGATTGTTAGCCGAACCACAGGAACCATGTTTGAGTGAAACGAATTTGACTTAATAATAATAATAATAATAATAATAATAATAATAATAGCCTAATAGTCCACTCCAAATTTTATTAAACCGAAACGGAAATTCTTTTTGCCCAATTGATCGTGAGCTCGGCAGCCACTGAGCAGCGCCAGATCGATCCCTATTGTTGAACACCAAACAAGGTAGCAACAACTCCTATCTTTTAACGTCGTTCAAGCATGTATTTCCTCTGAATTTACAAATATCATGCATACACAAAGTCAAAAGAAAGTGACACTACCTCGCCTGTGGTACATGTTTCTAGTCTTACCTCCTGTCCCGGTTGTGATCCAGAGGGCTGGATACATTCCCAAGTGATCTTCAACGCTACTATTGGATTCGTTTCACTCAGTTCTGAGTCTGCCCTGTTTAGTCTGCTCTTTAAGGCTTGAAGAAGGGATCCTCCGTTGTTATCTGAGAGGTCATACTCATCTTGAAACTAGAAAAAATATGTGCATAGAAATAAAGAACTTTAATATTACATTAAAAAAGAAAATCTTGGATGAAATATCACATTCTGATATTTTACACGTTTACACTTTGAAGACTTACATGAAGATGAGCTTATATATTATATAGTAATTGGTTTGCTACCAACAATGACATCAGGCAAAGTTGTTTAATTTCACCCACCATGTTCAATATATTCTTGGAACATATTGTTACAGAGTCAGCCAGCAAAGGTGGACTCCCTTACAAAAAAAGTACCATGGTATCCATGGTTTTTTGTCCAAATTACCATCCACCATGGTAACCATGGTAACCATGGTGTTATCAATCTGGGATTTGCCGATGACATCGACCAATTTTTGGAATACCATATGCTTCTAGCTTACAAGATTACAAAAAGTAATCTTGGCATGAAAATCAGTGCTGATAAAAACAAGACCCGTAATATGGGTTCTGGTGACAATGTAACAATTAAGATTGAAAGAGAATAGCTTGATACCGTTGATCAATTCAAATATCTAGGGTAAACTATAACAGAGGGGCAAGAAAGTCAAAATAGGAATTGCGGTGGCCACATCTCCCCTTGCTTGTCTGTAACCGACGAAATTTTCGTCAGTTGCAGGACATATCCGATCCGACATTAACATTTCGAGAATGCGACATGTCCATAATTCTTAGACAGTAAATGTTGGAGTTGCACCAATTTGTAGTCAAAGACTTTGCAGTTTATTTGGTAATAACTAAATAAATTTGTGTAAAATATGAGATATCATGGATCGAATATCATATTTCCTTGTATTAAAACAAAATCAGCAAACTTTGGTCACCCCCATGATACACGTATATCATAAGTTGTTGCATTAACGTTGCAAAGTCTTCTAAGTGAGCCCCCTCCCGGAATAGACCGGGCAGTGTTTCACAGAACTGTCATAAGTACCAGTTCACCGACATCCAAATGAAATGTGAGTATTATAATTAGCACGTACTTCAGTGGTATGTCGTGGTATATTTTAGTTTCGTTGAACTATGAACTGTTTAGTAATTTTATTCAAACTCTTTGAACAAAAGTTTCTCTTAACCACTCAAATGCTTGCTTTAGGATAAAAAATATAGCAGCAACTATAAATGGGAAGTAGACATCCATATAAATACTGTAAAGACATTGTAGAATGTAATAAAACAATAATTATAGATTATACACTGTCGCTCATAAGGGTGGAATATTTTTTTAAATCCCAATTTATGGAATTATTTTAAAAAATAATTTAAAAATAATAGATCTAGATAATAGTATACATCCTCTGGACGGCCATGCATTATGGCTCAAGGCATGGGAACACAGAAGATTTGTTTATGTTGGGAGCCGGGGTAAAATGCAATAAATTATTGAAAATTTATTGCATTTTCTTAGTTTTTTTTATTTATGGAAACTGCCCCCTACCCTAGCCCCCGCTGCGTACAGTCATGGTTCAGTGACAAAGCAATGGCCTCGTAACTGTGAGGCCCCAGGATCAAAACCGTGTCGATGTGCTATATTAGTGCCCTTTTGTGGGGCATTATTCCTCATTACTGTCATTTATGACTTAAGGGCATATGTCCCCTAGTTGATAAGCATAGTAGCATATACATGCTTTAGCAGTTACGCAAAACACACATTGGCAAATGATTGTTCAATAAAATCTGAGAATGTATACTATTATCTAGATCTATTATTTTTAAATTATTTTTAAAATAATTCCATAAATTGGGATTTAAAAAAACATTCCACCTTCATGAGCGACAGTGTATGTTAAAGTATTGAGACACTAAAGCAGTGTAATGGCATTCAATTTACCATCAATATCATTATCATTACCATTCTGATAATCATCAACCATCATATTTTATTATATTCCACATACTAAGAATCTTACTCTACTATTGATCATTGATGGGAGAAGAAAAGTTTGTTGCACTGTGTAGAGAGTAGTACTATCTACACAGTGCAACGCACTTTCACTGAACATAGAAGTACTATAGTACACAGTGCAACGCACTTTAATTGTATACGCTGCGCATTGCTCTCCTCTTTAAGCGCTTTTAGTGTTAGTACGCGAACTTTGGTCACGCGCGAACTACCATACTGCATGCACTGTACGTATCGTACACCGTTTGCTAGCTGTTAATTGATGAATTGTTGCTCTAAAATGACGGAAGAAGTGAAATGTTTCCGATGTGGAATATAAAGCAAATAATCACCTTTTGGTTTCAGGCGATGGCAAACTATCACTTCGTCGGCGATCTGAATGTATACGCTATCTTTCCTCAGCTTCGCTTCGGAAAGATAGCTACATCCAGATCGCCTCGGAAGTGATAGTTTGTCCCATGACCTTCACCAACGGTAGTTATTTGCTTACTATCAACCTGCGTCTTTTACTATCATTATCATTGTTATCATGATCATCATTATTATAGCCCCCAAAATTGATATATTAAATTGAGACCGTTCGATCTAATGTATCTTCTGCACAGGAATGATATTACATACTGATTTTGCTTTCACATGAAAGTAAGAATATCTTCAAGTGTACTTATCACTAAAAGAATATATTTTTTCTGTATGTTTCTAGTTCGATTGCGTTATATATTCAAAATATAAGTTCTGAACAGTACTTCCGTAAAGAGATTTTGCAAGTACGCTCTCAATTCCGACTTGGGTTCTGTGTGAACAGTTTTGTGTTATACTTATGATTTTCTTCATCCCCCTTATTTTTTTTAGCCCATATTTACCACACTAAGTTTTGGAGGTGGACTTACTCATTTAATCTGTTTACATTTTTCCTAAAGGTTATTGGTACATATATATTTCAGTGTTTACTCAAATCATACCTGATAAAATATTTTGGGATCACCAATGCTGAGGTCCACTGCAGCTCCTAGGACAGCGACTGACGCATCTCCATGAGTTGTAGTGAATAGAGATGGGTTTGTGTACTGAGTCAGAGATTTGTCTATCGAACATTTGTCGTTGGAGAACTCGATCATGCCAGTAGATGTGAACTACATGTACATAGGATAATCAAAATGATATTTGGTTCAGGATTCTAAGCAATCATAGATACTGTTATATTACACAAATGCTTTTAGGAACATGGTTAAAACTATTTCCCAAGGCGATCTCGAAAACTGTACTGTGCCCCGAAACAAAGTTTGCGGGCACAGTTTCCAGATCACAGTGGATGAATGGTTTACCTGAAAAATATAATCAATCAATATAAGTTCTTTGTAACACATTTTCTGTGTAGGTCCCCAAAGATAATATAAAAACTATGATATAAATGTACGTCAAAAATTCAAAATATATGTGATATAAAGTATACATTATCACAGATCAACAAAAGTCAACATGAATGGGTAATTTAGTCACCCTTTAAATAACACGGCACTATTCGTATAAAAGTAGGGGAAACCCCTGTGTGGTTGTCCATCTGCTTATCCCAATCAGTTTTACCGGGAGGAGAGATACAGGGGTCACTGCAATTTTCATTAATTTCCAGGGACTCATAAACCAAATCATCAATACAACTAGTAGTACTAGAACTAATAATGATACTAATAATAGTAATAATGATAATGATAATGATAATAACATTAATAACAATAAACCCACCCGTATCGCTGTGTATAGATGCCCGTCGCCAATCGGAATACATGACTTGACGTCAACGCACCCCCAAGCCAGTAAGTCAGATTGGAAGGTTACCTGTTCATCAATGTCTGCTCCATAATCCAAGTAGATTATCTCTATGGAAATAAAAATAAAACAAATTAAAGAAAAATTGAAAAAAACTTCGCAGTCGAAAATGATGCCTCTGCCATATAGCGATTTTATAAACCAAAACAGAACCAATTTTTAAAATTCAAATTTGATGGTACTCCATTAACAATGTTCTCAGAATATCGGGATTACAAGCTATTTGTTATATATATGTACAGTGGCGTAGACAGGTTCGTACACCTGGGGGGGGGGGATGACTCAGGGGCGGATCTAGCTTTTAAGTTGACCAAAATAATGACGATGCGGAGCATCGTCCACGAGCCGCGAAGCGGCGATCCGATTTTTTTGGGGGGTGTTTATTTGAACCCCGTAAGTGATGTTTTCCTGGCATCTATTAACACAATGGAGACCATAAAAAGCAGTGCATGATAACGTCTTTTTAAATCAAGTAACAGTTAAATACACAGTTATATCCAGAGTTATCATGTGTTTGGTTAAGTTACCAGATGAGTTGAATATCTTCTCACAATATTTGCACTTGAAAGGGTTTCTCTCCAGCGTGCGTTCTTTTTTCTTTCTTTTTTTCTTTTTTTTTTTTCTTTTTTTTTTTTTTCCTTTTCTTTTTTTTTTTTTTTTTGGGGGGGGGGGGGGGCCGCCCAAGGGGGGGGGGGGGGGGGGGGTTTAAACCCCCTAACCCCCCCCCCCCCGTAGATCCGCGCCTGTTTAATCTTGTGGTTATCTTGTGGTTTCCAAACCACAAGATAACCACAAAATACTTGTAAGATTTTCTTTTTTTTACCGTCTGAATTGGCTTTCACCGTGTGAATGCGGCTAATAACAATAAACACAATTACAATAATGATGAGGATTATTATTATCATCATCATAATTATTATTATTATTGATATTATAATTGTTATCATTATTATTATTACTATTATTATCATAATTATGACTTATTAAGTAAGCAAATATCATTCCCCAAAACCTGGGGGGGGGGGGTGATTGTACATGCCATCCCCCCACCTTGTGAGGTGTGGGGATGCATCCCCCTCATCCCCCCCCCCCCCCCCCCCCCCCCCGTTGTCTACGCCCCTGTGTATGACCATTTGATCTTTGACCTCATGACCCTAAAATATAATCAAATACATGACCCAGGTTTGGCGGTAATCCATCAAGTCGATTCTTGAGAACGCGATCACTAGCTTTTTTTGCATACATAATGAGCTCTGTGATCTCTGACCTTTGACGTCTGATCTCGTGACCCCAACATCAAATCGGTTCATTGGCTCTGCAAGATATATTGGCCTACATGACTTAAGTTTGGCGGGAATCCATCAATCGGTTCTTAAGATAACGCGTCGTACGGACGGACGGACGGACAACCCCAGAACGTATAATGCCCTCGGCTACTTTGTAGAGGAGGCATGAAAATCGATGTATACAGGCAATACGATAATTAACATGCCCTTGCTGTAATCATCCCATGTATGATGTAAAGCTGTCAAGCTCAGTACGTTAGGTAAACCTATACTGCAGCCACAACACAAATCCAATAATGAAGAAATTAGAAAGGCAATATTTGATCTGTGCAACGAAAACATTATTTTGTTTCAAGTAGGAATCGGTGTAAGATTGATCTACACCATTGTTGATGGCAATTTTTTTTTTCCATGTTTAATAGGTAAAGTGCGCACAAAGAGAGACTATTTGTGAGGGTAAACACATACAATACACCCTTTCACGGTCCGACATTGGCGCCATTTTAAATTTCCAGTAATGCCATTTTAAATTGCAAGTAAATATTGCGAGTAAATTTTTATTAAATGCAGCATGCAAGGCGCGCATGTGTCAAAAAGATGTGAGGGCGCAACACAGGCAGTATCTGACGCAACAATACATTCGCGTCTGAAAACATTGATGACGCAATGTTTACTCGCAAATTAAAATGGCGGCCTTAACTGTGAAGGGGTGTATTAAAATAATTATAAATGATCTGACCCAAAACAATAAGCGATGGATAAACGAGTCCTGATGTTTTAATTCGAGCATTATTGATTTTTTTTCTTCAAAACAATACATTGGAATGGTTTGAGCAAGTGCATATACTATGACACATCAGTTTGAATTACACGAGCGAATGTGTGATATTTATGACTCCGCCTAGCCGCGGTATCAGTGCCAGAGGCATTATGTTTTCGAGTTGTCCGGCCATCCCTCCGTACTATAATGTCTGTTCGTCCATCCCTCGTTATATCCCGCGATATCCAAGAACCACTTGAGATGTGAACTTCAAACTTAATGATACTATGTATTACCATAGGAAGACTATGTGAACGATATTGTTGTAAAAATGCCATACGTAAAAGGTCACAGAGGCCAATATAAGACATTCAAGGTATTTTTATTGCAATATCGCAAGAACCACTAGAAACACAAGGCTCAAACCTACTGATAATACTCTCTTTAAAAAAAAGAGTGAATTTTCACTCTTTTTTCACTTTCTTGGAAGTGACGTCCGTGATCACTTGTTTAGGAGTGAAAATCGATTGATTTAAGAGTGCTCTCTAAGTAGAAAAGAGTGAATGTTCACTCTATTTTCACTACATTTTCACTCTCCAGAGGAGTGACGTCCGTGATCACTCGAATTCACTCTTTTTTTTTAAAGAGAGTATGTATCACAGTAGGAAGACGATTGGGATATAATTAGATTAGGGGTTATAGCTCCCCAAACACAGAGGTCAATTTTGTTTGGCCTTGCTATCAAAATGGTAACAATATTGCTATATGAAGATGATCCTATTCCAGATATAATAATATAATATGTCAAAATCATAGTCAGCGGCTGAATATGGTCTACAGACATTTTCTTTCATCGCGATAAGTCAAGAATAATTTCATTCATTTCCTATATTAAATTAAGGGCGGGGGACATATAGGAAACGCAGTCGTGTGTGCATTGTACAAGTTCCTCTATTCGTACACGACGAAGCGGGAACACAGTCAGCTAAACATGTAAAAATTGATTTCCGAAGGCAATGAATTTGATAAAGATGACGAGAAGAAAAGAATACCCGTTTGAAAAGATTAATCTTCACTTGGAGGGATACAGTAAAATACAGTCAAAAGTGGTATCTTCAATTCGATTAACGACAGTGAGGGAAAGAGTTACCTCATTTGTGAAACTATCAGTCAATAAATCAAACAAAGTAAACGGACTGATTATTTCTTTCAAAGTTCAAATCTGTATGTCTCTACTTTCACTTCTGTTGACTTTCAAGTAAGAAGAAACTCAAAGATAAGCAACGAATAAGAATTTCATTGGATTTTGCTTTACATCAAAAGTGAATGTATGTATTTTTTTTATAATTTATTCAGAAGTTATAGACTACCTGTTTCACACGAAGCGCCAGAATAGCCGGGATCACAAACGCACGTTACGGCGGTTGTTCCAGGAGTACAAGTTCCTCTATTCGTACACGACGAAGCGGGAACACAGTCAGCTACACATGAAAAAATTGATTTCCGAAGGCAATGAATTTAATAAGGATGACGAGAAGAAAAGAATACCCGTTTGAAAAGATTAATCTTCACTTGGAGGGATACAGTAAAATAGAGTCAAAAGTGGTATCTTCAATTCGATTAACGACAGTGAGGGAAAGAGTTACCTCATTTGTGAAACTATCAGTCAATAAATCAAACAAAGTAAACGGACTGATTATTTCTTTCAAAGTTCAAATCTGTATGTCTCTACTTTCACTTCTGTTGAATTTCAAGTAAGATAGAAACTCAAAGATAAGCAACGAATAAGAATTTCATTGGATTTTGCTTTACATCAAAAGTGAATGTATGTATGTTTTTTTTATAATTTATTCAGAAGTTATAGATTACCTGTTTCACACGAAGCGCCAGAATAGCCGGGATCACAAACGCACGTTACGGCGGTTGTTCCAGGAGTACACGTTCCTCTATTCGTACACGACGAAGCGGGAACACAGTCAGCTAAACATGTAAAAATTGATTTCCGAAGGCAATGAATTTGATAAAGATGACGAGAAGAAAAGAATACCCGTTTGAAAAGATTAATCTTCACTTGGAGGGATACAGTAAAATAGAGTCAAAAGTGGTATCTTCAATTCGATTAACGACAGTGAGGGAAAGAGTTACCTCATTTGTGAAACTATCAGTCAATAAATCAAACAAAGTAAACGGACTGATTATTTCTTTCAAAGTTCAAATCTGTATGTCTCTACTTTCACTTCTGTTGACTTTCAAGTAAGAAGAAACTCAAAGATAAGCAACGAATAAGAATTTCATTGGATTTTGCTTTACATCAAAAGTGAATGTATGTATGTTTTTTTTTATAATTTATTCAGAAGTTATAGACTACCTGTTTCACACGAAGCGCCAGAATAGCCGGGATCACAAACGCACGTTACGGCGGTTGTTCCAGGAGTACAAGTTCCTCTATTCGTACACGACGAAGCGGGAACACAGTCAGCTACACATGAAAAAATTGATTTACGAAGGCAATGAATTTAATAAGGATGACGAGAAGAAAAGAATACCCGTTTGAAAAGATAAATCTTCACTTGGAGGGATACAGTAAAATAGAGTCAAAAGTGGTATCTTCAATTCGATTAACGACAGTGAGGGAAAGAGTTACCTCATTTGTGAAACTATCAGTCAATAAATCAAACAAAGTAAACGGACTGATTATTTCTTTCAAAGTTCAAATCTGTATGTCTCTACTTTCACTTCTGTTGAATTTCAAGTAAGATAGAAACTCAAAGATAAGCAACGAATAAGAATTTCATTGGATTTTGCTTTACATCAAAAGTGAATGTATGTATGTTTTTTTTATAATTTATTCAGAAGTTATAGATTACCTGTTTCACACGAAGCGCCAGAATAGCCGGGATCACAAACGCACGTTACGGCGGTTGTTCCAGGAGTACAAGTTCCTCTATTCGTACACAACGAAGCGGGAACACAGTCAGCTACACATGTAAAAATTGGT